TAAGCGCGCAAGACGGAGCACCGCCACCTAGGCGTCGTGGGCTCGCCTCACGCTCTGGAACGCCACATGAGCAGTGCCTCGGGCGAGAGTCGGCACAACCGCTACCGAGGAGCGCGACGCCGCTCCTGCCTCCGCCTAGGCGAGCGCCGGCCCAACCACCGCCGGGGAGCGCCGACCCTGCGCTGGCCAAGCCGCCGCCGCCGGGGGACGCGACCCCGCTCGCGCGGTCCGCAGGGGCGAGCGCGGCCCGGTCCGCAGGGGCGCAGGGACGCGCGGGATGGCCTCCGCCGCTGCCTCGCAAGCCACTGGAGGCTCCTCTGCCCACGCTGACTCCGCCTCCATCCGCACGGGCGCAGGAGCTGTCCGCCTCGAAGCTTTTTTCCCGATCCGGTCTGAGTCGTGCGTTACTGGGAGAAAAGGAGATGTAGTGAAGGGTAATCATGTCATTTCGCATTAGTCTTCAGTGGGACTTCACGGTGCCCTCAAACAGAACTGACGGGAAGGCCATACAAGGAATCGAAAATTGGATTGGAGACCAATATGTAAGTTGAAAATTTTCAAGGCCAAGAAAGAAAGACTGAGTTTTAAGAGGGCCATGTAGGTAATTTTCTCAATAAATATCCGTACCGTTTTCATCCATACACATCGCCCGTGCAGCTCGCGACAAGAAGGACAAGGTCAAGCTCTGGAACGACATCTCGATCAGTGCGCTCTGCTCTGCTTTCTCGATCAGAGCTTTTGTTTGGTTTATAAAAGTTGATTTTTTTATGGCTATGATCGCTTCTCTTACGATCCGCCTTTTTTAGTTTGTTTTTTCAGCCGGAACAGTGTTTTTCTCTCACAACAAATCAGGCAGAACAGTGTTTCGGCTTGTTTTTTCAGCGAACCGAACGGGGTTGAAAGCATCTAGGCCCCTAGTTGAGTTTCGGTGATTAATGACAATACAATATTACTATGACTAACGTGTGTTTTGCAGAGGCAATTAAGTTAGGTCATGATAATGGAAATTGATTGGGCAATCAGTGTTTGATAAAACTTTCTCAAATAGGTAAATGAGCTATGTAACAATTGTATATCTTGCTGAGATGATCAAACTTGGTATTCAGAGTTTTTTCATCTGAGGTCATTTAGTGTCTCATTTGAGCAAGTTTGACCCAGTCAAATTTGGTCAAATGAAAAAACAACACTTTGACTCTAGTATTATGAACTCTAAATGACTTTAAATTGAAAAGTTTTGAATACCAAGTTTATTCAACTCATCAAGATCTACAATTGTTGTTTTGGTCAACTTTCCATTTGAGATAGTTTGGACGATTCAAATTTGTGATTTTTAAATTTCGATGTTTACAAACTAGTTTTCGGAACCCTAGATTGTCTCAAATTGAAAAGTTTTGAATACCAAGTTTGTTCAGCTCATCAAGATCTACAATACTTATATAGGCTATTTTTCATTTGAAAAAGTTTGAATAAAATGTAGTTCAAATTTCACAAGTGTGTGACATAGTTTCAGAAAGTCTATATGAGATTCAAGAATTTGTGACTAGTGTTTGATAAAACTTTCTCAAATGGGAAAATGAGCTATGTAACAATTATATATCTTGCTGAGATGATCAAACTTGGTATTCAGAGTTTTTTCATCTGAGGTCATTTAGTGTCTCATTTGAGCAAGTTTGACCAAGTCAAATTTGGTCAAATGAAAAAAACAACACTTTGACTCTAATATTATGAACTCTAAATGACTTCAAATTGAAAAGTTTTGAATACCAAGTTTATTCAACTCATCAAGATCTACAATTGTTGTTTTGGTCAACTTTACATTTGAGATAGTTTGGATGGTTCAAATTTATGATTTTTAAATTTTAACGCCTATAAACTAGTTTTCCATTTGAGAAAGTTTGGACGGTTTAAATTTTGAAGCACTAAATGATTTTAAACGAAAAAGTTGTAAACAACAAAGTTTCATAACTTTTTGAGATCTACAATTTTTATTTTGATCATTTCTCCATCCAAGATCGTTTGAATAATATCCGAATAATATCCGTTTTTAAATATTCGGATATATCCTATACTTAACCGGATTATCCGATATCCGCCGGATATCGATGATATTACATCCGTATTTGATATCCGCCTAAGATATTCGTTTTATTATCTGTATCCGAAAAAAATTACGGATATCCGAATAACTATCCGGATAAGTGTTCATATTTGTTCGGTCGAACGGACGGTCGAATAAATATCCGTACCATTTTCATCCATACACATCGCCCGTGCAGCTCGCGACAAGTAAGGACAAGGTCAAGCTCTGGAACGACCTCTCGATCAGTGCGCTCTGCTCTGCTTTCTCGATCAGAGCTTTTGTTTGGTTTATAAAAGTTGATTTTTTAAGGCTATGATCGCTTCTCTTACGATCCACCTTTTTCAGTTTGTTTTTTCAGCTGGAACTGTGTTTTTCTCTCACAACAAATCAGCCAGAACAGTGTTTCGGCTTATTTTTTCAGCGAAGCGAACGGGGCTGAAAGCATCTAGGCCCCTAGTTGAGTTTCGGTGATTAATGACAATACAATATTACTATGACTAACGTGTGTTTTGCAGAGGCAATTAAGTTAGGTCATGATAATGGAGATTGATTGAGCAATCAAGGTTGTCATGCCTCTATGATGGAAATCGTTTCAGTTTTCAAATGATGGACTAGTTCTAAGTGTCATTTGATGCTGAGGAGATACTTAGAGTAGTTTAGGACTTTGTTTTTTTTCTTTGGCCATACTATTAAGGGGGTATGGACGGGTAGCTTGACCTAGGTGAGTCTAGTGAGTTAGATGTGGTGCACACTTGCCAAATGTAGCACTAGATAGCTCTAAAAAGCCTTTAGATGAATTGGAGCAAACTTCATTCACATATGATTGAGAGTTGAAAGTGAATGGAGGGTCAAACACTGACCGGACGCCGGTTCCGGCGTGACCGGACGCTAGCGCAGAGTCCGGTTAGTTCATTTGACCAAGGTGATTTCGTCTGATGCGATCGGACACTGAGAGGTGAGTGACCGGACGCTGAGTCCCAGCGTCCGGTCGACTCCAATAAGGTCCCAGAGAGGAAAAATTGTGACCGGACGCTGTCCAGCGTCCCGTCACAACTTAAACACTGGAGTTCGGAGAGAACTGACCGGACTGTCCGGTCAACATGACCAGAGCGTCCGGTCACCCCGCAGAGGCACATAACGGTTCGTTTTTCAGTCGGTGTTATAAATATTTTCTCCATTCGTGTGTGGGGTAGTTTTACTCATTCCAACAGCTGAGAAACATCCTTGAGAGTGCCAAGAAGAGCAAGGTCCTAATGAGGTGATTGAGATTTGAGAATCCTAGAGAGCTCTCATTAGTGAAAGCAAGAGTAGCAAAGTGTGCATCCACCCTTCTCATTAGGCTTGTCGTGGTCAAGTGAGAGTTCGTGCTTGTTACTCTTGGTGATCGCTATCACCTAGACGGCTTGGTGGTGATTGGGAGCTTGGTGATCATTCAGCGGAGCTTGTGGATGACCCAACTCAAGTTGTGAGCGGTTGTGGGTGATTTATCGCGACGGAGTGTCAAAGAATCAACCCGTAGAGAGCACTTGATCCTTGCGCGAATCAAGGGGGAGCTACACCTTTACGCTGGTGCTCCAACGAGGATTAGTGGGGAGTGGCGACTCTCTGATAGCTCGGCAAAACATCACCGCGTTACTCCTTCTCTCTCTTTACTTTGAGCATTTACTTTGAGAAATTCAATTCTTGTTTTACATTCATAGAATTGCTATGCTAAAGTAGAATTGAAACTTAGGTTGCAAGACTTTTTGTGCGGTAGAACATTAGAAACACTTTCTAAGCAAGGGGTTAATTGGGCTAACCATAAGATTTAATTATTGTAAAGAAATTTAGAATGAGTCCAATTCACTTTCTCTTGGACATCTTGATCCTTTCAGGGCCTATTGGCTTCTGGTTGTCGGATTTTTGCTATTAGCTTTTATAATACATTTTTAGCTTCTCATCAGCGTACTAAATAAAAGCTCAAAATACTCAACATCGGCCGTAAGCACCGTTCCAGTACAAGAAAGCGAAAAAAACGAGGTTAGATTGGTCTGATGTTGGACCAAATGTCTTAGTAGGCCTCGGTGGAGGCCCATAACGGCACTCATACTGTATTTTATTACAGCCAACACACATATCAGTTGTATCTTTTACCCACTGTAAAAAAAAATGTACTGCTATCTTTAAACAATGCAGATTACAATTGACTTGATTATTTTATATTATATATCTGGTTCATCTAGGCATACCATTTTTTTCATTTTACTGGTTATTATTGTTCTCGGTGTCACATTTTTATACCCATTCGTCTAATTTTCTGATCAATATAGATATATAGTTCCTCCCAACACAGGTACAAGTCCATCTAAGTTTGTCCTAAAATAAATTTCATTTAACTTTGACCAGCACTATCTATGGAAAAATGTTATCATAAATCAAAAGAGTTGTACATCGTAGTAGTTTTTACAATAAATAATTCTAGAAATGTTAATCCTGTGTTATCTACTGATATTAATTATAAATATTTATTGTTATTTATTAATTATAGATATTGATGGTGAAAGTTAAAAAGAATATCGGTCATACCATACAGAAAATGAACGAAGGTGTGAAAAGCAGTTATCGAGGAATTTAGAGAAAGAAATTGCCATTCAATATCAACTAAACTGACACTTAACAGCAGAGAAGTTGTACTTCTAGGGATTTAGACCATGTTCAATCTACATCGACAGTCATACATATATAAGCAGTTGATCATAGTAACCACATTGTACCATCCCTCTTCTCTAGCTGATACCACCAGTACTACGAAAATTCTCCAGCATCTTAGTACTACCACAGGACAACCACTCAACATCTCAGAATAGGCCAGCAGATCGACAACGCATCCAAAAACTTTAGATACCATGAGAATGTACCCGACAAATCCTTCCAATACGCGCTAGGTTTTGCTGGGATTCAAGAGTTCGCCGAGATTCAAGTGCAAGCTGTTCCTCATGGTTCTCCTTCCTGTTGCACCAGCATTGCCCTTCCTCATCATCGCCGTGAACTCGCTGTAGTCGATTTGACCATCCTGAAGTGGAAAACCATATCAAAATTAAGTGACGAATAATCAAAACCAAGATTTATGAATGCAACTAAAACATAGAGACAGAGAGACTAGATTAATAAATATAAAAGGGACTAACATTGTTCTGGTCAATATCTTTAATCATATCCTCGAGGTGGACGTCATCAAGACCAAACTCACGACATGCTTCTGACAGCTCATCAATGGTTATAAAGCCACTTCCATCTTTGTCAAAAAATGAGAATGCTGAAACCAAGTTTTCCTCCCTCTCCAGCTTATTCATGTGCAACGTAGCTGCAATGAATTCGCCGTAGTCGATGGTTCCGCTGTTATCAATATCTGCCTGAAACAAATGTACCAAAGGGCAAAATCAATATCCATAGAACATATCTGCAAGGAATTATGATTTTACTAGTAAAAGGCTGGAAGAGCACTTACTGCTTCCATCAGAGCCTGGATTTCATTCTCTGTTAATTCAGAGCCCACCCTTTTCAAGCCATCTTTCAGCTCATCAAATGTTATAGTCCCACTATTGTCAGTATCAATCATCTTGAACAACTCCTTGAGGCCTCCAATCTCTTCCTCAGACAGGCTTTCAGCAATGACCTGAATATTGAAAAGATGCCTACAGTATGTCAAAAATTTTAAGATGACCACTGCACATTTCGTGTTACGTACTGAAACATTAGAGGCACTCTGCCATCTCTGTGATGCAATAGCCCAAATTACTAAATTTTCTGTAGCTAATTACCAAGTAAAATGGGCGGAAAAGCAAAGCCAATCCAGAACATCATATCCGATATCTATAATGTTTTGATTTGATAGCATGAATCAGAAAACCTGGATGGAATATAGTGAGCATTGTGACACAGAGAGAAGAAAGCAGGGGTGTAAATAAGCATGAGGCCAGACGTATGAGTATGACTATTCATCCCTCTGAGCTCTACTAGATTGTATTTGATTACAGAACAAAGCACCACCTTCAGAGTGATCATAATTGAGGATCCACTACAGTTAACAGTAAGATTCTTTCACACAGAAAGGGAAAATAGAGCCATATATGGAGTTCGCCTTGGTATATCAAGAAATAGAGACCATGCTAACAGTAACATTTACGATGCCTTTACTATTAGGGTCCACATAAAACCAAACGGTGTAGAATCAGATATCACATCAAGTAAGGACTAGTAAATATCCATACCCTTAATGCCATCTTCTTGAGCTTGTTCATTGCCGAAAAATGCTTCAGCCTTGACAAAACAGCAGAATCAATAGGCTTATCAGGTGCCACGGCATCGTCAACAATCCATGGGTGGCCTGAATATGGCATAGACAATGCTATTATTGAAGGAATAAAAAATGGATATCCCATGTAGCACCCAGGAAATGTATCCACAACCCAGCTACATGAGATAGATGAGGGAAGGAATGTACTTACAGAGAACCTCATGAGCACTAAATCTCTTTTTAGGATCCCGAGTAAGCATATTACGGACCAGATCCTTAGCACTATCAGAGATACTAGGCCAGGGTTCAGATTCAAAATCAAGTTTGCCTCGCAGAATCTGCCTGAAGATTCCAGCCTCAGTTTCTGAAAGAAGAAAATCATATAACATAATGGGAAACATGTGAATTTGCAGTGACAAACGAATTTGATGGTTTGAATGACAGATACTTTACCTGCCCAAAATGGGGGGACACCACAAAGCAAAATGTACAGAATTACCCCCGCGCTCCACACATCAGCTTCTGGACCATAGCATTTCTGAAGTACCTCTGGTGCAACATAGTAAGGGCTTCCAACGACATCAGAGAATTTATCACCTGAGGTAATGGAAATGAGCAGCTTGCATCATCAAGAATCTTAGCACAAGGGGGCACTGAGAACATCTAGCAACACCAGAGTCAAACCGAGTACAATTTTGGATGCAAGTACCATTGTACCAGACACATCAAAATAGAAGCTCATAAATCACTATCTCAAAACCACAAATGGCTTCTAGTAAGCTTCTATTAACAGTTTCAGTAACTCATTCCCATTCCAAAACGAAACTGGGAGCTTCAACATGGTTTTGTATCTTTTCTCTTACTGTTCTCGTCAAATCAAATAATAATATCAATGCCTTATCATCAATATGTTAGATAGCATTCTCGTTCCGTGAAAAACAATCACGCAGAAAGCACTAATGCCAAATCCATCAGACTTGACCACGACATTATATCAAGTGTCACTGTTTTAATAACAAACAAAAAAGGTCATTCTAACACAGCAAGTATAACTACCTTGCATCAGAACCATCAATGGCAACAGCAAACAGCAGCAGTTGACCAACCAAATCCAGCAATGTAAAAGCAAAGAAACACGCATACCGGGCTTGTAGAACATGGAGAGCCCAAAGTCAGTGGCCTTGAGTGGGGCTTCCTCGGCGGTGCTGGCAAAGAGAAAGTTCTCCGGATTGAGGTCCCGGTGCATGACGCCGAGCGAGTGGCATCCCTCCACGACCCCGACAATGGTCTTGATGAGCTTCGCCGCCGCGCGCTCGCTGTAGTGTCCCTTGGCGACGATGCGGTCGAAGAGCTCGCCGCCGGCGTAGAGCTCCATGACGATGTGCACGAAGAGCGCGTCCTCGTAGGCGTCGCTGATGCGGACGACGTTGGGGTGCTCGGAGAGGTGGTGCATGATCTGGATCTCGCGGTACACGTCCTCGTAGTCCTCCCGGCACAGCAGCTTGCGCTTGGGGATGGACTTGCACGCATACTCGGCACCGTCGGCCTTGCCCACACACTGGTACGTGGTGCCGAACTGCCCCTGCCCACGCTCTTGCCGATGCGGTAGTGGTCCCGCACGTTCGCCGTCTTGTACGGCAGCACGGACGCCGGCCGCCCCGACGACGGCGCCGGCGCCGGCGCCGGCTGCGGCAGCGGCAGCTTCGCCTTCGCATTGCCGGCGTCCCCGCTCGGGTCCGGCTGCATTGGCGCGCCCCAGGTGAGCTCCCCCGGATCAAGAACCACACGGAGGCCGCCGCCGCAGGAAATGGAAGCCTGTTCTTGGACGAGAAACCGGAAAACCCGGAGAAAAGTTAGAAATTTGGGGACACGGAGATGACGAACCAGTCAAAAGGGAAGAGAAATCCACCTCTCTCGCTACAAATTTCTGCAGCTCCTCCAAGGATTTCCGCGGGCTGGAGACGGAAGAACAGGGGGGAAGATCTTGGAGCGGGGGAACGGAGGAGCCCTGCTGCCGATTGAGATCGAGAGCCGAGGAACGAACGAAGCTTTATGCGAGGTTTATCTGTGACAAACCCACGAGCAGAGAGGAACAGGAACGAGAAACGGAAGCAGCAGCAAGGGGAGGAAGAAATCTGTGCTCTCACTTTCTCAGGTGTCACATGGGGAAGATGTGCAATCCTGCCAAAAGAAAAGGGGAGAGCAAGCCGGGGGGAAAAAGATTAGCAGCCTCTTCTATCTATCCATCCGGTGTGGAGCTACAAGCTGGCCGCGCAAGAGGACAGGATTTTGGCGGCGTGGGTGATGGCTCCACCCATATTTTTTTTATAGGAATTTCGGAGGCGGCAGCTTCCAATGGGGGCGAGGAGAGGATGACGGTGAGAGCTCAAATATCTGCGTTTTGATTTGCGTTTCAAGGTTGGGAACGGGCAAAAGGGAGGGCGTGTTGGTGGAGGAGGGATTTGGGGGAAGGGAAATGCGTGCGCTGGTCGCAGTGCAGCTAGGTCGTATCTAAGGAATTCTCCATGGGTGACCAGGAAGGAGGGAGGAAGGAGACGACGACGCTGTCACCATTGTTTTTCTTTTTCTATATATTTTTATATACTTTTCTCCTTTTGTAAAATGTAAATCAGGCAACGGTCCATTTCTGGTAAAAATTATGTATAGTGACCAGTGAAATTGAAAAACACCGAGTTGTTTTTTTAACACGAAACACACAAGTTAAGTTGCAAGGAAATTAAAAAAAATAAAAGATTTTAAGGGCACGTAGGAATTTTACAGAAACCATGCAGTTTCACAATAATTAGTTTATTTTCATAGAAAAAACGAAAAATTCACGTGCTCCAAACAAACCCTAAGTCTTACCTAAAGTCTTCAAGAGTGGCGGCTTCTATAATCCCAGGAGACTTCATGATCATGTTCTAATAAAACTTTAAAACACCCTAGGATATATACTTTACTCTTTGCTTCTTAAAAATAAAATGGTGTTCGTAACGTATACGTTGGAATTAGTGCAAGGGCAAAAAAATAATAATAAAACGGTCCTTGTGGCTTACTAGACAGAGTCCTTTTTGGCTTAGAAAAAGTTTGGCCAGATGAGACATGACACCTTTTACGTGTACATTGACATTGTCTTCACATAAAAACAACGTTGGTGCCTTTTTTTCCTCGGGGGAGACTAGCTAGTCAAAAGAGCACTTACAGGACAACAGAAATTAACCACCATAGTTATAATTAAGAATTCTTACATACAGCTCCTAAAATGCTGAAAAAAAAATTCTGTCAAAAGGCAAAGCGATTTACTGAAGATTCTTTTGGCCTTCTATGATCTCATCCTAACAATGGCGAGAAAACATATGGGGATTCACGGGTGTGTGTTTCACCGTTTCATTCATAAAGAGGCAGCGGATGACAAGGACGGCAGTGAGAAGAAGTGAGCGATGAATACAAACGTTGTTTTGTTTGGAATTGTCAAGCACACTCGGTTGTTTTCTACGTACCTCGTGGGCTTTGTTTGTTCCTGCAGTGACTCATTCCGTTGGACAAATTAGAGCGAGGCATATTCCTTGGGACTTGCACTTTTTATTATACCACCTTGTTTCAGCACACGAGCACCCTGTTTTGCATAGCCAGACTTCAGTAATGATGGTTAAGGAGACAAGCATACCGTTCCCTACTAAGGACTCGTTTAGTCTTTGGTGAGAGGTGATACAGGAGTATGTACCAAAGGAACCGAAATCAACTCCTCCATCGTCTAACAGTTTATCCTCCATAGCTCTTGAAAACTAGATCAGTACGTATAACTAATAGGTGCATTTTCCCAAAAAGAAAGACCTTAAAATTTTAGCCAAAGTTAAACTATTGTTAGCTTGACTGAATTCATGGAGAAAAATATTAACATACATTCATGACACCAACTAGGTACTGGTATACGAAACTATTATATAATATAATTGAACGGTGCTAATTAACTAATATCATAAATATGGATATGTTTTTTAAACTTAACTTAGCCAAACTCGCAACCGTTTGACTTCGACTAAAATTCTAAAACGTTCCTTCTCTAAGTGAGATGTACTAGAACTTCTAATCTATCTTTACATCCGTAAGACGTCTCTGCTGCGTGGGATATCTTGGCGCTCCATTGGGCCCCAGCGGAGGACCAACGAGTGGCCGCAGCGGTTGTAGGTCCTTGTAATCAACCACTCTACAGTAGCTTGGTACCACTCTACAGTACTTGGTACAACGGCACAGTAGGGATGAGTTGGAGCTACTGTAGGATTTAAAGCCCTAAATAAATGCTTTGTTCATTTGGCTGATAAGTCGTGACTGAAAGTACTGATGGCTGATTTGTTGTGAAAGAAAAATATTATTTGTTAGCCGAAAAAGTACAGCTTATAAGCCAAGCGAACGGGATAAAACTCTAGAAAGACAGAGAGACCATAAAAAAAATTTAGCAAGGTGGTCACGTAGGTTAGATCTTTTTTATGTGAACATGCATGTATACTAGATCGGGAGCTTGGCAGAAGAATGCAAGCATGATTTTTTTTAAAGGACAGCAAGAGCTCTGTGTATTTTTATTAGAAGAAGAAAGGAATACAAAGTGCAGATACAGTAGGTGCCGGCTAATTAACTACTAGTTGCCATGCCATTTCAGCTAAGTTTTTTGTGCTGTCGTACCATTTTAGTTTTTTTTTTTTTGGGGGGGGGGGGGCCTTATATATTGACTAGCAGGTGCCATGCCATTTTAGTAATTCTCGGGTTGACCCAACGACCGAAAGCAAGCTAAGAAGGGGCCTGTTCGGCAAGACTGAAAAATACTGTTCCGACTGATTGTTGTGAGAGAAAAATACTGTTCTGTCAGAACGTGAACAATGATTTCGTGAGTGGCGGAACAAGCCAGCCGAACACGCCAAAGGTTATTACGTACCTGCTGGTCCTAACTTATTTTGCGCCTCACATAATTTGAACATGTTGATAATAAAATGAAATGAAATGGCAAGGTACCACATCGTGGTGGTAAAAAAGTGAGAGCAAAATTTAGTTACTAGTCCCTCTATCCACGGGAAAATGCAATTCTCGTTTTTTTGAAAAATCAAACAGTTTGAATTTTGATTAAATTTATATAAAAAGTTACTAACATTCATGATTAAAAAAATTACTAACAGGTCATGCCTTTGTCAAATAACATAGCTCAGCTCGTTTGCGTTGCAAGAGGCGTTGCAGTTGCTGTTGTGCTGTGTAACCCAAAGCCAAAGACGAGAAGCTTCGGCGCCATCTTTACGATACGATTCCTTCGGTTGATACATGACCATCTGGCATCCGCTGCTCATGATCGATCTCTCCCAGCTCAGCTAGTCCAGGAGTAGTCATCTTCAGGCTTTCAGTCTCAGCCACGCTGAGTGGTGCACTTATTTGGAGCATTATGATTTGCGCGTGACAGCTAGCTCTTGCCTCTTGCTTGCTTGGTCAGACAGCTGCGAGTGGGAACGGGCACGGAGGAGACCTTCCCAAGTCAAAGTCGTCCCTTTCTTTCCCTAGTCACAGATTCACGGTCAAAACTCGTCTCCAGTACACTCTGCACTATGCATTTATTAGTCAAGCTTGAAATGGCTTGACTTATGCCTGGTTTAGTTCCCAAAAATTTTCACCCTAAACTATCACATCAAATCTTACGGCACATGCATGGAGTATTAAATATAGGCGAAAAAAAACTAATTGCACAGTTTAGTTGGAAATCGCGAGACGAATGTTTTAAGACTAATTAGTCCATGATTAGCCATAAGTGCTACAGTAACTAACATGCGCTAATGACGGATTAATTAGGTTTAATAAATTCGTCTCGTAGTTTCCAGGCGAGCTATGTAATTAGTTTTTTTATTAGTATCCGAAAACCCCTTCCGACATCCTCGAAACATCCGATGTGACATCAAACAATTTCATTTTGCGAACTAAACACAGCCTTAATTAGGATAAACCAAGAACATCATTTATACAATATGTTCGCTTGTTAGTTTCAGCCAGGGTTTATCAGTCATGATACAGTGTTTTTCTCTCACAACAAATCAGCACCATCCAGACTTATCAACCCAGAAACCAACCAGCGAACATGTTGATAGAGGGAGTACAATGCAGGATTTATGCAACCTAGTATGTGCACACGGTCCCTAAAGTTGGAGGGCCATGCCAAGGTACACCAGTTACCTCGTACTGTAGGAGGTAAAATCTCAAACAAATCTTAGCCCTTGATTTTTGAAGTGCATACAATAATTAAGTAATTAAAATGTTTAGAAAACAGAAAATAGAAAAGACAACAAACCAACAAATGTATACAAGATATTTGCTATTCAAGAACAGCTTGTTTCTTGCCATAAAACGGGTGCCCGTATACAGCATGCAACAACGCATATACGGGTTCGTGCAACAGCGGCATACTCCTATACTGGTGTACCGGGCTTGCGCCCGTGCCAGACGTGGCGCCGTAGACGTACATCACATACGTGAACACGTCACGTAGTGAACACATCTGATGGTATAAAATCGAATAAATTAATGTCAAAAGATAATGATTGATAGTAGAATTTCCCGTTACCAACATACATTTGCAAGATACTAAGTCATAAAAATACTAATGTTGGGATTATGAAAATAAATAAATAAATAAATCATTCAAATACCAATACGTTCAAGACTGATGTTGTCATTACCAACACTTTCACGTTCTAATTTAAATAAATAACTAAAACCCACCTCTACTTTTGTCACATTTGTAGAAAAAAAATACAGCTCATGTTTAGATACAACTAACCTTGACATAAATTACATATGCACGTAGATCAATTAATTGAAAAAAAATCACATGTCACATTAGGAATCAACCATTCATACTTAAAAAAAAAAGAAACCAACCATACAAACGCAGGCCTCAATCTCATGCGGTTGCATGTATTGATAGATATTTTACCTAAAATTTTGCTTACTTTCCTATTTTTCAAAATAATAAAATACATTTAGTCTATTACCTTTATAGCCAGCCAAATTAACGGTCCACAGTTATTTGAGGGTACCTGAAAGGTCGAGATGGCGACTAGAGGGGGTGAATAGTCCTTTTTAAAACTTAATCGCATCGGCTAACCGAAATAAGTGCGGAATTAAAACTATCGGTCTAGCTAAGACTACACACTTCTATCTATGTTCTTTAGCACCTTTTAAATATACTAATTAAGCAATTAAGGAGCCGGGCTAGCTAGAGCTCACCTAAGAAATTCTAGGAGCAAGGTCACACAAACCTATGCCACTAGTACTTTAAGCGACAAGAGAGCTCCTACACATGCTAATAAGCAAAAGCACAAAGCCACCTAAACTCACTAGCAATGCTCAATAACAAAGGCAACCAATGCCAAATTAGAGAGCGTAAATACTTAGCTACACAAACTAAGCAATGTGACTAACAAGGTTACTCAAACCAAATTAGCCACGCAAGGAAGCTACTTCTATGCTACACAAGCAAAAAGGTAACTAATATGCTACACAAGCAAACTAATTACAAGAGCAACTACACAAGCTTAATATATATGAAAGTAAATACAAGCTTGTGTAATGGGGAAGCAAACCAACGGGAAGAACGCTGTTGACACGATGATTTTTCTCCCGAGGTTCACGTGTTTGCCAACACGCTAGTCCCCGTTGTGTCGACTGCTCACTTGGTGGTTCGACGGCTAATTAGCATCACCCGCTAAGCCCGCATGTCGGGCGCCGCAAGAACCTACCCCTTGAGTGAGGGTAGCTCAATGACACGCTTTACTAAAGTTGTTCTTCGTGGCTCCCGCGGGGCGAGCACAATGCCCCTCACAAAGCTCTTCTTCGGAGCCCCGCACAAGCTTCTTGCGGGCTTCGACGGAGACCACCACCAAGCCGTCTAGGAGGTGACAACCTCCAAGAGTAACAAGCACCACCGGCTTGCAACTCGATCACCTAGTGCCACTCAATGCAACCTCACGATGCAATCGTACTAGAATCGCTCACTCACACAATCGAATGATCACTATCAAGTATATGTGTGATGAAGGGCTCCCAAACACTCATAAGCATGGACACTAAGTCCCCTCAGGTGCTCAACTCTCGCCATGGCCAAGAGCCACTTCTATTTATAGCCCCATGGGCTAAACTAGCCGTTACCCCTTCACTGGGCAAAACTCGGGACGACCGGACGCTCCGTTCAGATTGACCGGACGCTAGACCTCAGCGTCCGGTCGTGCGATGCACGCCACGTGTCCCCTCCTTCAAATGCTGTTCACTGGATCTCAACGGTCATCTGTCGACCGGACGCTCCAACATGAACTGACTGGACGCAGCAACCCCAGCGTCCGGTCGTTTCCAGTAAGGTACCGGACATGACCGGACGCGTCCGGTCGGATGCGATCGGACGCAGCACCAGCGTCCGGTCACTCTCAGCTTTTCTGCTCTGCCTGCGTCACCATACGTCAGCTCTGACCGGACGCAGCACCCCAGCGTCCGGTCACTACGTGACCAGCGTCCGGTCCACTCTGTGAGACCCTGTCTTTTCTGTCTAGGGCGCCGGAGGCACCGTCGGACTGTCCGCACTCTACGGGCGGACACTCCGCCGGTGGAGTTTCTCCTTTCGCCTCCATTTGTTCACCGAGTTGATCCACATCAACTCCAACTTTATCTCCTTTGTAAATATAACAACCTCACCAAATGTACACCACCATTGAAGGGTCGAGATGGCGGACTAGAGGGGGGGTGAATAGTC